TTTCATCAGCATGTCCCTTTAGGAGCTCCGTAAGTTTGCTCAGATTATTGAAATGTTCAAAAATGGTTCTTTTAAGAACCGTTCACTGAAAGGCTCTTTGTTGAAGCCAAAATGATTCTTCTAAAAGACAAAAAAAAAAAAAAAACAAACTTTTGGAACCTTTATTTTTAAAAGTGTATCTGCATGAGGCAATCAATATTTTGCTAATCCTGACTTTGGAAAGCAGCAACTTACAAACCGGTTCAGCTCAGATTTTGGTGCTGTGTTTTTGCATAATTTATTTATTGAATCAGGCGCTAAGAAACATTGTGTTCAAGTCATTCTTAAGGAATTCCCCTATCAGACGTCTACAGATCTACAGAGTCACCTGCCATCTTTCATCGCAAATTTCAATTTGAAAAGCAGTAGCAATCATTTTTCATACATTAATATTTGATACTTTTTTAAGTGCTTGCATGATAGGTCATGCATGTATTGTTGCATTTGTCAGATGCCAGGTTACTTATATAATGATATTTACGAGCATGCACACGCGAAAGGACTAAATGACTGTGAGCCTCCGTTGAGAGAGATGGTTCCTGCTGGATGTATGGCTGGCTACCCTCGGTGGTTCGGGCAAAAGCCATTTGGATGCAAGATGGATGACTCGAGGGAAAAATAAAACGTACCTTTGAGCATAAAAACCATTTTACTCTAAATAATTCAAAAGCCTTGCTGTTAATGCCGTCCTACTTCTTCAGATTGAAAGCAAAAATAACAGAAAAACAACAACAAACTTAAATGAAGACCTGCAGACTGAGTACAAGAGAAATGTGAGATGTGACCTGGAAACTAATATCCAATATTCATTTGAAATCACAGGCAAAATCTTGCTTTGACTGCACTTCGATAGAATAGTAACCGGGTTTAGGGCTGTAATTGTGTTAACATAAAGGAAAGATGCAAAACTTTGTGTTTTGGGAAGAATAAAAGCTTGTTTGAAAGCATTTTAAAGCATTATAGAAATGTTCCAACATGTTATGGAATATTATACACTGTATATATTTTTCATGAGTAAGGATACACTGCAACCAGCTCCAAGATGTTTAATGGAAGCAAGGGAAATATATATATATGATGTACTCATGTGAACGTATTTAATTTGAAACCACTAAAAATGGAAGCTCCTTTAGCAGTAGAGCAACTACATGTGCTAATATCACTAAAAAACAAAAATGTTTTGTTTTCAAAGCGTCATCACATAACGGCGTATATCTTCTGCAAATGTACCCTATGCAAATCTTCTAAAGAACGCAGGAGTCCAGCAGAAATGAGATATGCTTGCAGTGCATCAGTCATGCTTGTCAGGAATGTGAGAACACACATGAATTCACAGTTTTACTGAATCATACATCATCAGTAATGGTTCACTTCCACAATTTAGGACGATTGCATTCATATCAGCACCAAACTGTACAGGAGTTAAAGGGGAAATGAAGCGGCGAATCAAGTTTACATGATTTACAAGATGGATTTCCAATATAATCAACAATTATATAAGAAACATTACAAATGTAAACATTTAGAAGAAAAAAAGAAAAAACTTTGTATCTTTCGCCGCCAGGGCGCCGCCATTGTGCAGGTGACGTCACGGGGTTGGTTGGCTCAAGTTTAACAGGCTCTGGGCATTGAAAATCGCGACATCAAACTGTGTTTACACCAGTGTTTTGACCGCGAACGATTAATGTTAGGTACAGTTATTAGACAAAAAGATGACGTCTAATGTTATTTGTTGACAAACTGCACATAGAAACATTGTTCGCGATGTCTGCCGTCAGATATTCCCGTCTCGTCAACACCATGTAAGTTAACGTTAGCTACGTTGCTGTATAGAACAGTCAGTGGTGGTTTGGGGCGGAGAGCGGGTTTGCAACGCTAACTTACCAGGTGTCAGTGTGGCTGTTGTCCTGCGATGCCCTCCGTGTCAGAGTCCATCTGTTGTCAAGAGGTTGATCGTGAGCATGTATTGCGTGGTCAATTCTGCATCACCGGCGCACACGTTTACCATGCTGTGCCGGCCGGGAGTTAGACGTGTGGAAGCGGCGATGCTTTCCCCGAAGGATGTCATTGCGGAGACACTTTTTCCTAGTATATGTAGGCTGTAGCTACTAGCACTACCAGTGCAAAAATATGGACGTTTCATTTCCCCTTTAACAAATACATGCTAACTTACATGTTGTTGACGAGACGGGAATATCTGACGGCAGACATTGTGAACAATGTTTCTATGTGCAGTTTGTCAACATATAACATGAGAAGTCGTCTTTTTGTCTAATATCTGTACCTAACTGTAGTCGTTCGCGGTCAAAACACTGGTGTAAACACAGTTTGATGTCGCGATTTTCAATGCCCAGAGCCTGTTAAACTTGAGCCAACCAACCCCGTGACGTCAACTGCACAATGGCGGCGCCCTGGCGGCGAAAGATACAACGTTTTTTTCTTTTTTTCTTCTAAATGTTTACATTTGTAATGTTCCTTATATAATTATTGATTATATTGGAAATCCATCTTGTAAATCATGTAAACTTGATTCACCGCTTCATTTCTCCTTTAAAGTCCCTGTAAAGGCAATTCTACAAAAAAGTTCTAAACACATTATAAATGTTACATTACAAATGTTACATAGCCCCATAGGCGGGGCTAAAACAGGGCTTGATGACGCACTGGAGCCCATGAGCTGCTGGACACCCCCCTATTTGATGACGCACAGAGTCTGATCTCCCCCTCTCCACACACACTCCCTGAGCACATTCGCAATCACCGCTCAATCGCGAGTGTCTGTCAGTACTATTAGTTACTACAGCTGAGCCTACAGTTTTCTAGCTAGGTATGCCTTCGACACGGACATGCATGGGCTACTACCTGGATGCGATCATGTACAAAACAGATTGGTATCATCTTCATTTAAATTCCCTTAAAAACGATCACATCAAGAAGAGGTTTTTAAGAGAGCCAACCTTGTTGATGAAAAGCTGAGGATCACCCCCAACACCTGCCTCTGTAGTGATCGTTTTACACTGGATCGTTTTATAAACTTTCCTCAGAGACAACTGGGATTCACTGATAATCCGCTGTTACTGGTGAACGGGGCCGAAACGACGATCTCCCGCCTCAGTGTTCATCCTCCCGTCTCCAAAAGCTAATCAGCTAGTGATGTTACGTTCGTGAACGAATCGTTCTTTTTGAACGAATCTTTTAGGTGAACGAATCATTCTCGTTCACGTTATCCATTGACTCATATTTCTCGTCACTGAAATTCCCCCTTCTACCACTGCGCGCCGCTATTGCGCGCATGCGGAGCTCAATGAACCGTGTAGCTCTGTGGCCCGTTTCATCTGTCAAAGACAAAGAGTGACTAAACCTCGAGCCAATAGCCTTCGAGTATGATACGAGGACGGAGCATGTGATTTGTTGAATCTAGTGAACGAATACGCCCTTTATTGAGTTGCTTTGAGTTTGAACGAGTCCAATGAACTGTTACATACATCTCGTTCGTGAATGAAAGAACCAGTTGTTTGAACGTCAAGATAATAATGAAGACGAAGTTAACAGTGCAAGCTGATGGTTTAATTTAATAAAAGACAGCTTAAAATTTTCGTTTTTACTAAAATCTACAAACTACATCAGGTAATCTGCTAACTTCAAAATGAGTGGCACCACTAGCACTGGTGTTGTTTTGTGTGCATTTTGTATTATTTATTTTTATTATTGTTGTTTTATGTTTCAACAGTTTTATACTTTAAAAAATAAATATATATGTCATGTCATGCACTTTTGTTTGTTTAAAAACTGTAAAACATTAAAAATGTTTTACGTCAGCTAATAGCATTTCAGCTTGGGCTTAGAAGGGGCATGTAATTGGTTGGATACTCTGCTGAATGAGTCTGAACGAGAGAGAGATCTCCCGTTCGTGAACGAATTGAACGAACTGGTTGCTATACCCAGTTCGTGTACCAGGTCGGCCATTGTGTCAATCTAGTTCATCAATCAGCAGAAAGTGAATGCAAAGCGCAGGTATCCGTACTGTGAACGCGCAATTCATAACTTACATACAGAAAATAACTCCTCGTTTAACTCGTTCTGACCAAACAAATAAAATGTTAACTAGCCTGCCTAGTATGCAAACAAATTAAAAAACACTTGTGATTTGGTCATCCGAAAAGAGTGTAATTTAAAAGATAAAAAGAGTGTGGAGACTTTGATCGCTTATTTAGACTTATTTTATCAATTTAATGAGTAGCCTAGGGCACATTTTTTAATAAAGTCAAATCAGTTTTTATTTTGTAACAAGTAAATACGTTGTTAACACATTTTGCCGCTCCTGCCGCTGATGTATATGGAAAAAAAAAACTGAACGAATCAGTGAACGAGTCTGAACGAATCATTTTGGTGAACGAACTAAAAATGAACGAGTCTCTGAAAAGAATCAAAATTTCCACCACTATAATCAGCTAATATCACCGTCAACAGCTTTCCCGCTAGTGGGCGTGGTTTCAGCGCAGCCATCGGACACGCCCCCAGCGTTTGAGAGCAGAGATAACTGCTCATTTTTTCATGATTTTGATAGCTTATTTTATGTACTTGTCGGCTTTTTTTTATCATTCAAATTTGGCTGGGTGGCTAATAACACATTTTCCTGTGGTATGACAGACTCAGAACACATACTTAATTTTGACTTTACAGGGACTTTAACATGAACCTTACCCCCGACCACCTTTTTTGCAAATACTATGATTTGAAATAAATAATAATTGTGGTTCTTGAAATTGACCAGTAATTCATTCTCTACATCTGGAAACGTTGGTCAAATACATTCTTTTTCGGAAAATGTAAATAGATGTACATTTTAGACTAAATTAACTGTTGGATATTTAGGCTTTTTTTTTTGGCATGTCTAATTCAAACAATCACTTAAAGGGATAGTTCACTTTGAAATTAATTTTTGATATGTTTTAGCTTACCTCAAGGGCATCCAAGATGTAGGTGTCTTTGTTTCCACAGTATGTTTCCACAGCCATGCTCTTTGAGGTGGTGACCATAGACCTCCATTATATGACTGATAGACAAGAGCGGTTTGACCTAAAAAAATAAAAAAAAAATAAACTACTGCTGAAACAAACACACCTTTCTTGGATGCCCTTGAGGTAAGCTAAAACATACTATTTACATATACTGAATTATTATTTTTTTAGAGTGTATGCTACAAAGATTTGCAAGTTTCGGATTTAATACTAACCTAAACAATCATTTTTAGTCATTTTTTTCCAGTATTGTCAGTGTAACTGAGGTAATTGAGGTAGCACTTTGCTGTATGCGGTCTATTATTGTAGGATCACCAATTTCAGATATACTCCCCCTGTAACATCATATAAATCGGAACTGTGGTGGGTGGCATCCAAGCGATGCCTTTATCTATCCGAGACTAAATCAGCTGAAACGTGAATCACACTGTATGATATTAAAAGGTCTGGATCCGCAAGACAATGAGCGATTCGGTATTTTCCATTGCGATGCTGAGCAGAAAGCCTCGTCTTGCCCTTCTTGAGGACATTAGGTGTGGGATCTTGTGCGGTGGCCTTTGGAGCTGCTTTGATGGATGTTATGAGCTATGTCAGAATGACAGAAAAGCTGATGGACCGCATTCAGAGATCCACTGCTTTCAGGTACTGACCTTTACCCCTGACGTTCACAATGTAATATACGAACACATGTGAGTCTCTCAGACACCAGACAGATGCACAGATACAGTGCAGCAACTGAACCAGCGTAGAACAGAATTAATTTCCATATTTGTCTTGGTTGGATAGGACTTCTTTCGGTGCTGGTCAAGATGGTGGAACAGAATAATCATGCTTTTCAGCAAGACAAAACCTACATGGACAAAATCGACACTTAAAAGTGCTTTTAAACTCTTAAAAAAGACTTTTTGTTATACTGGTTGAAACTCTCTTCACATTCTGATTCAGTGTGATCCAGGCAGACGAGCAATGATTATTAGAGATCAAATGTTATATAAGGAATAAGAAATTCTATTAAATAAAATTATAATGACAACAAATAAATCAAGTAAACAGTAAAAAAAGTTTCAAGATGAGATAGAAAAATAAATCTTAAATAGATAAATCAATAGTCAATAGATAATAATAAAATGCAAAGTAGTGTATCTAGCAGATAATTCAGAGTATGAAAAGTATTAATAGAGAGAGACACGAAAGAAGCCCTGAGTCTTCTGAAATTAAACATTTTATATGACTATATAGGGAAAGTACCTATTAAATATATATATATATATATATATATATATATAACAAACTAAGTGGCATTAACCAAATATATATTTATATATATATATATATATATTAGGGCTGTGCAAAAGTTAATTGCGATTAATCGCATCCAAAATAAAAGTCTGTGTTTACATAATATATTTGTGTGTGCTGTATATAATTATTTTGTATATATAAATACCTATGCATGCATGTATATATTTAAGAATTATTTGTGCTTAAATTCTGTATATATTTATAAATACATAATCTATATTATATAAATATAAATATTTTAGATATGAATAACACATTTTCTTAAATATATACATGCATGTGTGTGTATTTATATATACAAAATAATTATATACAGCACACACAAATATATTATGTAAACACAGACTTTTATTTTGAATGCGATTAATCGCAATTAATTTTTGCACAGCCCTAATATATATATATATAAAACAAACCAAGAGGTATTAAGGTATTATGGCATGTTAATAGATCATGTTGTGAACTAATTCTGAACAAACCAGAACAAACCACATTGAAACTAGTTGAAATCAGGGTTACTGCTATAAAACTGAACTAAAACTAAAAAATATAAGAAAATAATAAAAAAATTAAAGAAACCGAAAATAGTAATATAAAAAACCCAAATACAAATGCTTACAAAATTACTAATCAAACTAAAATTAAAGTGAAAATATAAAATAAATTGAGCTTGTGTATCATTTCTTTCATTTGTACGATGGATATTTTGCTATCCAACGCTATCTCACGACCAATTCGTACACATGAGTAAAATGTGGCTGATTGGTACGAATTCATACGAACCCCAGTGACGGTTAGGTTTAGGTGCGGGGTCAGGAGTAGGTCATTCGTACGAATTCATACAAATTGGGCAACTCGTAAAATATGTACGAATTACCGTGAAATCGGGTTGGACATTCTTACATTTTAATATGAATTTTGTGACCATTGTATACTGGTGACTGTTTTTTTTTTTTTTTCCCCAAAATAAATCAATATTCCATAATTCTCTGAGGCAAGACGAGCTGTTTGCAGACTTTGCCACATTCAATTTTCAAAATCTCATAATTTTCACACAAATCATATCCTTTATAATTCCAACAGGCCTGCGCAGGCCTTCTCATATGAGTCAGACTGCCCCATTCACTATTCACAGTTTATGCTAATTTCTATTTAAATGTTCATCCTTGAAGACACTTGAAGAAAATGGTCTGAAAGATCGCCGCGTTTCAGATCATGTTCTAATTCTCAGCCAGTGTTTGACTAATCCTAGGCGCAGAAGACCCGGAGCGCTCAGCCTGACCAGTGCTCTAAAGCCAGCAGTAATTGGACCTCCAGGGAGGAGAGAAGCTGCTCATGTGACCGCCGTCAGATTCTCTGGGGTCCCGCTACAGCACCACGGGCGGCACAAGAAAGTGTCTTCGAATGCAAACAGCCAGCAAGCCAAATACAGCTCAGAAACGGCGTGCAAATACTGTTTTCTCTGCCGTTCACGCTTCAAATAGACGTGCCCTGAATGTAATCAGCAAAACCGAGGCGAGAGCGTCCCAAGAAGGATTTGACTTTTTTTCTTTTAGAGCTTTTATTTGGAAACTGCTGTATTTAAAGCTGATTGTTTCGTGTTGCAAAAATGTGTGCCTGAAAAGGTTTCAGTACTTGTGAGACGGACAATAATAAGGAGAGTAATTACACTCTCTAACAAAGGCCTGGGAAACTGAAACATTAATTACAATGCCGAGAGGCACAAATACAATCTGCTATGGCCAGTTTTAGGGATGGCACGTGCTCGATTGTATCTGTTTTCTGTAACAAGAGATTTGTCTGGGAGCAGATGAGTATTCCATTCCATCGATCACATTGAAATTTCAATAAATTATCTCTGTAGATGCAAAAAACTTAAATGCCACCGAGACCACAGTGCCTGTTTGATTTTAGGACCTCCGCCTCCATTTGTTTGCTTCTGGCTGGAGAAATAAGCCTATGTAATTCAATTGGTTTTTAATAGAAGGCTTGTCCATTCATCTTTCTTCTTAAACTGGACTAAATCAATCTGAATCAACAAGCAAAACTGATATAAGTCAAGCAAATCATCATAAACTATGGACAAATACGTCAAGTCAAATGTATTTATTGTGATTTTCACAATAAATTGGTTCCTCGTTAAGTTTTGATGGTCTCCTACAATAGGTTTACATGCATCCAAGGTAAAAAAAAAAACTCTTTCATTTTCTCATAATATACACTCATCTAAAGGGTTATTAGGAACACCAAACTAATACGGTGTTTGACCCCCTTTCGCCTTAATTCTGCGTGGCATTGATTCAACAAGGTGCTGAAAGCATTCTTTAGAAATGTTGGCCCATATTGATAGGATAGCATCTTTTGTGGCACGAAGCTCCCGTTCCACAACATCTCAAAGACGCTCTATTGGGTTGAGATCTGACGGGGCGGATCAAGAACACATCCGGGAATTTGAACTGGACTTGGCTAGACGTGAACTGTGAATTGGAACAGTACTTGGGCAGTGACTGATGACGTTTCACAAGAACACATATTGAGAAACGGCGGCCTCAGTCCACGACTTTTGAGAAAATGTGAATGTGTTCATATAAAAGAAAGAAAAAGGGGGAAGAAAAATATTTTACCTTTTCTTCAGGGGATTTTTTTTCTTCCCCAACTGTATTTCTTCTGAGAATTGAGTGGGCTAGTGCGTGAAAGAGAGACATCTCTCCATTAGTGATTATCTTGATTCTCTTCAGACTTCTAGGGGGGAAAAACAAACAAAAAGCAAAATTGTGTAAGGAGAATGTGACAAAGAGAAGACAAAGACTTCAATGTACTCATTATAAGTCACTGACTACCTTTGGTTAGATTCACAATACCATCAGAGACGGGCATTCACACCACGTACAGTGGAGTGGACATTAGCACTCATTAAAACATGAGATCAGTGTTCATAAGGCCAAGGTGCAATAATAATGTACAAAACTGAGACTGTTGGAAATTACTGAACCATGACCCAGGTGGCTATGTATATAATATCAGTTGTAAAATGACATTTAAATGAAATTCTTCTAAGAGAGGGTTGAGGCCTGCAAAAATATTTTTGGGAACACTTTACAAAAACAATAATTCCACAGTATTTATTAATCAATGTTCATTTTAATATTTACTAAAATAACATGAACAAACAATAAACAAATCGAATTTTACTAAGTAATGTAAACAAACATGGTGTAAAAATGTATTGCTCACTGTAACTTTGCATTAACTAATATTAACAAATACGACTTAACTGTAAAATGTCACTGGATAATCTCTGGATAAATGTTCACTTCATCTTTTAATTACGTATGGACAGTTTTAAAGTGCGATCGTTGGAGATGTTTTTCTTTCACTGGAGTCTGGCACATTTATGGATATCTTTCTGGTTTGATCCGGTCTGACCTTGCTCTGTCCTAACAAAAGAAATTGGGATTGTTCGGTGGGAGACGTGTTGGAGATCAAGAATCCAATGTCAACACCACAGTGAATCGATGTAATGCCATCTAACATGAAAAAGCAAACAAACATATACATCACAACATCGACGGGTTACCAAAGAAGCTTTGGTATAAATCAAGATGATGAAACTTTTTATACTAAAACTTTCAAATAGAAACTGGCTGATTACCTCAGGGCTTGGGTTTTCTTTCTGTGGCTTTTCTATAATAGAGGGGCACACATCTTCATTTGCGTCAGCCTAGGGAGAAATATGATTATTAAACTGGTTTTGCTTCAGGATTCAGATTTAACTTCGGACGTCAAGTCGCAACCAAACGTAACCTGTATTTATTGCAGTTATAAGGCAATATATTCCCTTGCATCGGATTGTTTTTTCCATGGGCTCATCCTGAATGTTGGCACCTGCTTCTTTTGGCGTCCTACAAACTTACAAAGAAATTTGTGCTTAGTTTGATTGGATGTACAACAATTGTCTGTTCCCAAAAGCCACTAGTTATTGTTACTACGCCCATCAAACCAGCCCGTTCTAATCCCAAAGCCTTATTTACTGACGCTTTTGACAATGCGTATACATGTACATCCAATGCGAGAAGGCGCCTCCTAGTGGTAATCTAACCTTACTCCAGACCAACCCGATCTCACGGGATTTCGTACGAATTTTACGAGGTGGCTAATTCGTAACAATTCATACGACCTCACTCGTACAAATTAGTACGATTTTGCTAAATCGTACATATTTTTTACGAATTGGCCAATTCGTATGAATTCGTACGAATGACCTACCCCTGACCCCGCCCCTAAACCTAACCATCTCGTGGGTTTAGACAAATCGTATAAATTCGTACGAGTGAGGTCGTACGAATTAGCCACTTTTTAATCACTCGTACGAATTGGTCGTGAGATAGGGTAGTCCAGACCTAAACCTACCCATAACCGAAGCGTGTTATATTGACGCTAAAGGGTGCCATGTGCGTTGGATGTATACGCCAGTGTTGTAGTCGAGACCACCTCACTCGAGTCCGAGTTGACACCGAGACCAGAGAGAGTCGAGTCCGAGTCAAGACCGAGTCCATAGAGAGTCGAGTCCGAGTCGAGTCCGAGACCAGAGACAGTCGAGTCCGAGTCGAGACCGAGACCAGTGAGGGTTGATTACCTAATTTACTTTTATTTACTTAGAGAAATCCTTTTTTTTTTACTGAATTTACTTTACTTTAAAAAATATGATCAGTTTAGGTTAAAAAGGCCACATAGTAGGTGGTGTTAAAAGTAATTTTATTACAATTGGTCATGCACAGTTGCGCACTAGAAAATCACCAATCACTTTAAATTCAATCAATGTTTCAATCAATTTAAAGAAATATTCTATTATTGTTATCATGAAAAATTATTATCATGAAAAATATTTTTAATTGAACTCGAGTGGACTCGGGAATAATTCCGAGTCCTAAAAAAAAAAAAATGTTCGAGTACGAGTCAATTCCGAGTCCAAATGGACACGAGTCCATGACAAGACCAAGACAATTAAAATATGGTCTCGAGACCGAGTCCGAGACGAGTCCGAGTCTCGAGTACTACAACACTGGTATACGCATTGTCAAACGCGTCACTATATGACGCCCTAGGATGAGAATGCGTTGGTCAAACACGACCAGCACGACAGATGCCATGCCAAGTATAATTATTAAAGTTAACCTATTTCAGAAATTGGTCTTTCATGGAGTTCAGGTCAAATGATTGTGAAATAATGATTATGTTAAAAGACAACCGATACCATCAATCACCTTGTCCATGTCTTCTCCTGGCTTTGTACAGCATTAAAAAAAATCTAAAGATAATGGATTAAGGGTAAAGAGCCAAACTAAAACAAACAAACACTGATCACCATAATGGTGACACAATTCCGATTTTCAACAATGCTCAATCATCACTCAATTATTCACTTAATTATCTCATTAACTTTAACACTGTTTTTCACTGTTCATTTAACACACTGCTTGGAGTTTAAATAATTCACACTCTCAGAGTTTATTTAACAGTAGGGATTTTGCTGTGTTTGGAGCAATACCTCCACGATATCCTCCAGATTGAGGCACAAGGGGTTACAGTATGCAGTGGGGGGATATATTCAAAATATAAAAATACAAATTGAAGGAGACACGACTATATCGAGGCGAAGACTTATACCGGTCTCAAGCAAAATCTGAGAAACCCAATGACCTGTACCTCAAATGCAACCAGCACAGCCTTGAAGAAGATTTTATAAGATGGTTCAGTGGCTAGTTGTTGGTTCTGTGACTAGCTGTCGAGGGTCTGCTCTTCTTTTGACTAGTATGTGAGAAGCAGATTGAGAAAAATGATATAAAAGGCACAGGACTCCCACAGGACTCTCTATTTGGGCCAATGCTATTCTTACACATGCTATTAGTGAGGATCACTATAATTTCTGTTAATTAATTCAGCTTTTCCTCATTGCGGATAAGCCATTGAATCTTTTTCTTTTTCTGCAACTGATATAAAAAAATTGGTACATAAAAAAGAGTGAAAGATGAAAATGATCAAACGGCAATATTTCTCGACTAACAGCTCCCTTTAGGGTACAGCAAGCGAGACCGAGAGAGAATCTCAAAAAAATAAATGGAACGGTAGTTTGAATGAGAGGATCTTGGGGGAGAAGGAGTTGGAGAACATGGAAAGAAAGCTCTTAGAAAAGAGTACAAGAAGAGAGGAAGCTCTGAGGAAGAAGAGAGATGGATAATCACCCCTGTGTGTGGGAGGCAGAGGCTTCCTCTAATGAGAACATGGTGGGTGATCTGCTGGAGTCGTGACTCGTCTCTTCTCTAGTATTGTCTCAGAGTTTCCCAGAGCACTACAGAAAGCATCATATAACACCAATCAGCCAATCACAACAGCTCTGCTGCAGATTCACGCCAGGGATCCTTAATTAGATCCGCTAGTTGGACCCACTTCATCAAAGATCTGCGCCTGATTGGTCTGATTGGTCAGATAAGGTATTGCAGTGCAACAATATAATGATAGGAATCAATTTATGTCTTTAAATAGCATTCTATATATATTTAATACATATATTTTTATATAAATTAAGATTAAATATATTTATTATATTTTATGGCACCATAGACTTGCAGGCAGCTCACTACTATATGTAGATGTGTTTTAATGCGGTCTTGCTAGGCAAGGCAAGTTTATTTATATAGCACATTTCATACAGTGGCAATTCAAAGTGCTTTACATGGAAGAAATTAAAATAATCAAAAGAAATCAGAATAATTTAAACAGTTTAGAATAAAAAATAAAATGAAGTACATTAACAGTCAGACGGACTCAGTAAATGCAATCAATATAAATAAAAACAGTTAAGAGTAAAAATAAAATAAAGTAATAGCCCTATCTGAGATTGCTAGGATCATACTAGCACCCAAAACGTATGCAAACCAGCATCCCATGCTGGTCCCAGCATGCAAAACAATGTTATAATGTTTTGTGTAACATGGCATAATTTATACAATATATTATACATAAATAATATTGCATAAACAATATTGTTAACTTCAGTTGTAATCACTAATGGTCAATCATCACTAACTACAACATTGCTTCAGCATTGCTTTTGCTCTCTATAGACTGGGACCATATGCAAACTGAGCAGCAATGTTAGTTTAACACTGAGGATTTTGTTGTGTACCAATAAACATGTGCATTTTTCTTTATTACACAATTTATTCAAATTTATTGTCTTTATTTAACTATGAACACACACACACTGTAAAAATATATATATATAAATATTTTCAAGATTTGTTATCACAACATATTTTCTTTTGTCAAATCAACTTTATAATAATTTATTTAGTTGAGATAACGTATTATTTGGAGTTTCTGATGATTAAATCAATCTCCTTCATTGTATTAACTCACTTTTTCCAGTTCAATCAACTTAAAATTAAGGCAACCAGGTTACTTACTTTTTTAAGTTAAACCAACAATATTTTTTTACAGTGCACACACTAAGAAAAGCGATATGTAACACATACTTAAGTTTTGTTGCGGACTTGCTAGGATCATACTAGCACCCGAAAGACATGCAACGTATGCAAACCAGCATCCCATGCTGGTCGCAGCATGCAAAACATACCATGTACTGGTGACCAGCAGTGCTGGATATTTCAGAAGGGAAGCCTGGTATGTAAAGACGAACTTGAAAGCGGAGTAGCTCCTCTAATTAGTGATGGGAAGATAAAAGGCCATCATCCATAATTGAGCATGGCGGTAGTATTCTGTCATCTCCTGTTCTTAAACTTTTTTTCCAGAAGTTCAGAACAGTTTGAGTACTTGCCTTCTTTCATCTGAAAAAGAATCAAAATCCTTTTAACTTCATGCATGACACCTGCAAGGATTGAACGGGGAAATTAAATTGTTGGCCTTTTGCACACATCTCTGCAATAAACAGCATTGCTTTATGAGTTTGATTGTGTGCGTGCTAGTATACGTGTGCGCTTACCTCCGAGTAGCCGCAGGGCATGAAGAAAACAGTCTCCGAAGAATTGGTTTACCGCGGCTGTCGATTTCATGCTGAGGAAGAAACAGGTGCTGTCGTAAACTTTATGCAGAGTGTCAATCGATATCCTAAAGCAACACACCGGTAGCGCATCAGAATCTGGCTCCTGTTGTGCAATCATTGTCAGGTCTCATCAAAACAAAGGGAATGTGTGCTACTTAAATTTCCTGCCACCAGTATTGGCGAGTTCCTTACATTTACATTTTAAAGGTGCAGTAAGTGATTTCTGAGAGGCACTGTTGATATTTAAAATCAACCCAAACAAACACTTACTTCCATTCGTTCTTACAAAATGCACAACACGCGAAAAAGACGAATGAATGAGGGAACAAAACATTAACATAAAGCACACAAATACAAGCAAGAGTTGGTTGTTAGTGTCAGCAGCTCCAGACAAACAATTACTGTTACAGCTAACATTACAACAACAGCAAATATTGGATTTGTGAAACAGCAATACCAATGTTACTCACATATGGAGCAGAGTGAATTTTCAGGCCTTTCTGATTGGCTACAAGTTTGTTGTGGGGCGCTCAGTCCAATCCACTTTCAATAGACCATTGTCAAATGGAGCTGTCCTTGTGGTTAATGGTAGGCAAAGTTAAACGCATGTTGTAAAATGTAATTTTAAATTCAACTGTATTTAGACACACGACATTTCTGTGAATCAAAATAAAGCTGAAATAAAAATAAAGTATTAATATTAGATGAAATGGCACATTGGAAACTGAAGCACAAAAATCTTTCAAAATCTTTTTTTTTTATCATCAGTGGTGAACGAGCCCGTTCTCATCCCAAAGCGCCATATACGACGCTTTTGCAAAAGTGTAAATATCCAACGCACATGGCACCTTTTAACGTCAAATGAGACGCAGATATATTTGGGCAGAAGGCGCCCCCTAGTGGTCTAACCCTAACCCTACACCATACCTAAACTTAACCATAACCGAGGCGTCTCATTAGACGTTAAAGGGTGCCATGTGCGTTGGATATTTACGCTTTTGCAAAAGCGTCGTAAATAACGCTTTGGGATGAGAATGTGGTGAACAGTAACCCTTTTTTCACACTTAAAGGGATAGTTCACTTTGAAATTCATTTCTGATGTTTTAGCTTACCTCAAGGGCATCCAAGATGTAGGTGTCTTTGTTTCCACAGTAGTTTCAATTTTGATATTTTTAGGTCAAACCGTTCTTGTCCGTCAGTCATATAATGGAGGTCTATGGTCACCACCTCAAAGAGCATGCGCAGAGAAGTCCAAATGAAACATGATTTAATGACTCGTAAATGTAAGTACACATTGACTGATACTGATGGCTACTTGGGAAAAACTGAAGATTTTTAGATCGCCAAGACAAAATGGAGGGCATCATCATCATCTGTGAGGAATTGTCTTATGGTGTTTAGATCATCCACAGTTGAGCCATGATCTAAAAGAAAGGAGCAAAGACAGACAGATGGATATTTGGCCAAGTTGTTATTTGTTCATGCATGGTATTCAAATGAGGAGGTGGTAGCATTAGAAAGCCTTATACATGTAGAGGTTAAGTGCCACTTTGCCCTATGTCTCCTGGTGAATTGCATTCATTGAAAAAGTCACCTCTCTGACGCTAGAATCTCAAAAACGTTGTGTGAATGTGAATTAGGGTGAACCCGTTGGGGTATGGATGTTAACAGCTTTGTAAGTAGCTTTAAAGTAGTGTCACAACCCCATCCCATCCCCCTACCGTCAGTAAGATGACATCCAGAGAAATTATTGAGTTTGTAAGTGCAGGATACAATTGATCAGCCCAGTGCTTCTCTATTCTATTACACCACTAAGTTTACACTGGTTTGCTTTGCTAACAATTATGCTTTGATTGAAATGTAAATGTAAGATATTGCAGATTTTTAAATTCCATGCTTACGTGGGTAATAGTTTTGAAGAAAACTTTCAATGCAACCACTCTCTAAATATTATTCCTATAGAATTTAGTAATAATTTCGAATTGCATATAAAATTCACATCCATTTGGATTACAAAGCTTTAGCATAAACTGAATATACATTATATTGCATTCATCATAATTGCATACATCATAATTGCATAAATAGATGATTTAGCACTATACTGTAAAAAATTTGGAGTAGGATTTACTTGAAAAAACCTTGCTAAACGATCTCACTCAGAAAATGCTAGTAAATTTACAAAGATTTGCCAAGTAAAAACCTAAACATATTTATCAGTAGCTTTAATTAGAAATCTTTAAGTTAAATTTACTTGGAATGTGGAATTAAGTAAACTTTACAAAAAATAAGTAATTTTAACTCGGCTTGTAAAAGGTTGATTAATACCGATTTCCTTTGCCTTTCTATTACACTTCACTAAAACAATTATCTTGAATTTTATTAGTCATTTATAGTATGTTCTTTACTTAGATCATCTAAGTAATTTATATATAAATCATGTCAGACTTTTAACCTTATGTGAATGCAAACACCTCAATACTTGGTAGACAATACACAATGGTGGTAACATTTGATGGATCGTTTTTGTGTTTGAATGTGTCGTTTTAAGCAAAAAATTTACTCGAAATGTCACAAAATGGCAATTTACTAATACTGAAAACAAAATCAATAATAAAACAGTGTAAATACAGCTGGAAACCAGTGAAAAATGAACCTCATCAATTATTCAAGGTCCAGTGCATGATGGGAACCCCAGTATCAGAAAAGTTGAGTAATTTTTACTTAATTTTATTGAGTTGATATTACACTTTCATTTATACTCGCTTGAAATAAGTACTGATATGGAATTTACTTAGTTTTTTAAATTCTTGCCTGAACTAACTTTTTCAAGTAAATTACATTGGGTTTTTTCACTAGTATTTACTTAACCAAAAAATCATTTTTTACAGTGACTATTTTATTATTTTTTTGATTGTTTTTAGACATGCTTTTTCTAGCTATACGCATATGTTTGTGTGTGAGTTTGTGTGTAACTGATGGCCATATCAAATTCCTGTGCATCTGCTGATGCATTTGGCGAATAAAGTGATTCTTGATTAAGTAATGTTAACAAATGAGACCTTATTGTAAAGTGTGACCATTATTTTCACCTATATTGATTTTATTTAAACCATCCTATTCAACTTGTGCATGATTTCCATTTCTTATCTTGATTTATGTACGACTGATAAATATGACTCGCATTACGTTTATGTTAAAACTGTGTCATCCAAATGGATGGAAATTCTATATGCAATTCAGTTTCATAAATCTTCCATTTAAGTCTAGATATTTTTGGTTTTGTTTTGTTTATATTTGCCAAAATGAGCAAGACTATAATACCTGGAGAAAGCATTACATAATACTTATGCAACTATGCAATATATTTGATATTTTTCAAGTGTGCTTTATACCTAAAGTTAAGCTATTTCTAAAGTCTGGATTTAATCTGACAAGGTCAAGTGTCTAGTTTAATATGCATGTGGGTATCTCAATCGGGAAAGTAACCAGAGGAGAACACAGAACAGTTGAAGCCAATCGTTTCCCCTGCTTGCATAGAGGGCAAATGAACTAAGCCGCCTACAATCCCATGACTATCCTGTCTCCTGCCCTGTGTTTTCCACTGTTCTCACTCCAGCACACCTGTATGCCACGACCGGGCACAGCGCCAGCATCACTAGCCATCGGCCACAACCACATCTACACATCTTTCATTAATTTCATATCCTTCTGGGGGAATATCCCATTAATTTGTGCTTTGGCCACATGATTCCCACCACCAGATGGGAGTCACTGCTATGGAAAATTATTTAAATAGTCAATGTTTCATAATCTACTCTTCAAATTATTATACATTAAGGATTTCCTGCCAACTTTATGCCATACAGTGTTCTCCGTCCTTGTAGTGAATCTGTTATCTGAGGCCTGATAATGCTCAAACAGAAATTATGATCATCTTTTTTTGCCTATGATGTATATTTTTACAGCTTTTCAAGAGAGAGAAACATGTGGATAATGCATGGCTAAATCATTTAATACTGAAATGTTCCATCAAATATAAAGACTTTAAGGATAATTTTTCAGATGCTACAAATTGTTTGAGCAGTTCAGTGTTTGGGGCAGGACTTACAGTTTGGCTGACCAATGGTACTTGGTACTTTTGCAAAGTTTATTATTAAGTTTAATATTAATAGTCAATTCATATAATAACTATATGAATAGGCTATATTATTGAAATGATAAATTATTATCATTCATATAACATAAATACACTGGATTTGGATTTCAATAGGCAAATGCTTAAAGGGATACTTCACCTTTGGAAAGATGAATGTCTATTTAAAATGGGTCATTTATGTAGAAGAAATGTGAAATTATTTTTGAATTTGGAGCTTTCTAGATTGAGAAAAGCCAGAAAATGTATTTTTGGCTTATGTTGATGAAAGACAACAACTCCCAGAATGCACTTGCTTCGCTGCCCTAGCAGGCCACACCTACCGGTAACAGAGCGCAGTAGTTAAACAACAAGTCTAGGCTACTACCGAGTCTCCATGATGAGTCTGCCCGAAAATGTGTTTCGAGATGGCTCAAAATGTCCGGGATTCGGTTTTTGCGTAATACAGTCATCATTCATCATGCTTACAGTAGCGAGCGGGACGAGTGAGGGCCGCGGGAGAACGGCGCGAGGCCAGTGGCGTGATTACCGATGAGCGACACCTGTGAGACGCACCGGTCTCGTATCTCTCACGGAGGAGCGGGAATTTTCTTAGCAATGTTAAAACGCACATCAACCGATCACTTGTTTAGCGTTCATGTAAACACTACATTCAGATCCACCAATCAAAATGAATTCAGTTAGATTGAAACAAAAGCTGTTACGTTACATGTAAACAGTTAATGGCGACTGCAGAAAGCAAAAGCTGAATCCCAGACATTTTGTACGATCTCGACGGCCGGACGTGTCCAGGAAAAGGAGGACGGTAACCACTACTACTCAGCTTTCTCCACAGAACAAGAGCCTGCTAGCTTAGC